GTTTCTTAGTCCCACCCAGAGCCTCCCAGAGTGACGTTTTTACACCAACGTGGACATTTTGGTGTTTGCTTTGGGTATAGGAGAGTTTTGATCTGGATTCTTTGTTCTGGTTGCGGAGTGTCTGATGTGCTAGGATTGCCCTACACCAGCCACAGTACTCAGAGAGCCCTGGAGTCAGGATCCCTGTGCAGCGCAGGGCAGCTGGTGTCGAAGGTGTAGAAGAGCTAGTCTGGTCAGCCCCTGGGCCTTGGGGAGCCTTTTCTCAGATGTTACTGAGTCAAAGTGCCAATGTCCTTGAGAGACCTGGGCGGGGCCAATAACCCAGCGAAACAGCTGGGCAGGAGCTCTCAGTAGGTCCCCTCCTCACCTCAGCCATGTAGGACATACACTTGGGTGATGTTTATTCACACTGTCATGTATGTAATCATCACCTCTGCCTAATCCCAGAACATTTTTATCACCCCAAAGGGAAACTCCATGCTGGTTAAACTGCCACTTCTTCTCCCACTGCCCCAGTAGATCCGCCTGTTCTGAGTGTTTCGTATACACGGGATCAGACATCATGTGCCTTTAGTGCTTCCTCTGTTCACTCGGTGTCATATGTTGGGGTTCATTTACATTATGGTCTGTCCACACTTCATTCCTTCTTATGGGTGAGTGGCATTCCCTTAGATGAACTTGCCACATAATTGTTTATTTATTCATCTTTGGACATTTTAGATATTTCTGGTCTCTTTTTTCTTTTTCTGTCTTTTTGCATGTGTATGTATATGTGGTGTGTCTATACCCATGTTCACATACGTGTGGATGCACCTGTGTGTGAGTGCACGTATATCAGTGTGGAACGAGCCTCGATGCTCCCCCACCTTATTCACTGAGGCAAAGTCTCTCAGTCAAACCTGGAACTTGCACATAAGGCTAGCCAGCTTGCTCTGGGTCTCTTTTTGGCCTTCTAAGTCTAGCATTACAGGCGAGCCACTACCCCCTTACCCCTGCCCCCTCAGTGTTTACTTGGGCTCTGGGGGTCTGAACTCTGGTCTTTTTGCTTGTTCAGCAAGTGCTTTAACTATTGAACCATCTCCCCAACCCCTTTAGAGACTTCCTTTTGTTTTGAAGTTTTCATATTACTATATTTTTTGTGTGTGCTGTGACTGGGATAGAGCCCAGTGCCTTGAGTGTGGTAGGCCAGCCTTGTATCACCTAGCCACGTTGCTAGCATTTTTGTTTGAGACAAGATGTAGACCTAACCGACTTAGAACTCCAGAGCCTCAACCTCCCCAGTGCCGGGATCACAGGCCTGCACCACTGTACCTGGACTTCGTTACTTTTCAAGTAGCTGTTTTCTGCTACTTGATGGACTAGGAGTTGAGGATGCCCTGAGCAGGCTGTTGGTGAGGAAGGAGGGTGTCAGGACATGCACACCTTCTCCCCAGGAAGGTGGTCTGAGTGTGGAGTTCACTGACCATGTGGGGAACTTGGATATGAATCAGGTGTCCCAGAAGTTTACGAGAAATTCCAGGGTTGGTAAGTTCAGTGAAGGTCTCTTGTTCATGTGACGAATTCCAAAGATGTTTCAGAAAATAATCACTGTGTAGACTCCGTGTCCCCTCTGTAAAAAGTGGGTTGGACTAGGCTAATATACTTGTTGTCTACCACATATGGGAATTTAGAAATTAAGTTAGTTAAAATTGATTTTACGTCTGGACTAGCTTGGTCTCCAGTGTGCAGAAGTCACATGCGGACACTGTGGTAGTTCCTCAAACGTTAAAAATAGAACAGCTCTCCATCAGTGTGTGAGTTCAGAACAGCTGAAAACGAGATCTTGCTGGGTGTGATGGTACATGCATCTAATCTCCACACTTGGGAGGCTGAGGCAGGAGGGTTGTGAGTTTGAGGCCTGCCTGTGAATAGCAAGATCTTGTATGAGGGGGGGGGGAGGTGGGGAAAGAGAGGGAAAGAGAGAGCATGCGCACCCATAGTCCTACGATATTATTTGTTAACAGCCAACGAGAAGCAATGACTCAAATACCTTCAGATGGGTAAATAAGATGCAGTCCATTCAAGGAATATTGTTGAGCCTTCAAAAGGCACATTCTGTGGCATGGGTGAAGCTTGAAGGCATTATGTGATGTGAAATAAGCCAGTCACCAAAAGACATATCATCTGACCCCACTTACATGAGGACTCTAGGTTGATCAAATTCGTAAAGCGAGGGCTTACCAGGGGCTGGGGAGGCAGTGGGAAGTTGTTCAATAGGGACGGTTTTGAAAGATGAAAAGTCCAGCAGTGTGAAAATACTTGTCTTACTCCTGAGCTGTGCCCTCAGAAATGTACAGAGGTGGTCCATTTTACCACACCTTTCAGTAACTTTTTGTGTTTTATTTTATGTGTATGAGTACATTGCCTGCATGTATGTGAGTGCACCCAGGTTGTGTTGTACTGCCAGAGATCAGAAGAGGGCATCGGATTCCCCTGGAACTGGAGTTATGCATGGTTGTTAGCCACCATGTGGGTGCTGGGACTCGAACCTGGGTCCTCTGCAAGAGCAGCCAGTGCTGAGCCATCTCTCCAGCCCCATTTACCATAACTTTTAAAAACACAAGTAGCCAATGGCTGTTATGTTGGGCTGTACAGACTTGGGACACGTCTGTCAGTGTAGGTGATGGTGTAGTTTAGTCTGGGAAGGCCCCTGGTATTGTTCCTGGAGACCTAGGGTTGGGGTCACGAAGGTGACTCTGACTGGAGGGTCCTGAGGGAAGGTCCCAGAGTTCATCTTCCAGCAAGGCAGGTGGACCTGGGCGGGCAGGGGCTCCCAGTGGAGAAGGTCACAGGAGTGTGCCGGGGAGGGAAGCAAGCAGCCCCTCTGTGTTTTTATTATTATTTCTCAAGCAGGGCCCCTGGCAGGCTGGATGTTTAATTTGGTTTGAGTTTCTGCAGTGAACCATGGTACCTTTGGAAGAGCCACCTGGGGTCTGGAGCGGGCCTTCCCTGACTGGGGCTGATGAAAGAGAGGTGGGGGTCAGCCCTCTTCCTCATACTGCTCGGGAAGGGTGTGTGAGGGAGGTGGGGGTAGAGCTCCCAGACCCACAGACAGATGGAAACAATTTTCAGTCACGTGGGTGAGGCCTGAACTGCTGTCCCACAAGGCAGGGCCCCTTGTCTGTCTCCAGGAAGCGGCCCCAAAGCCACAGCTTCTAGGGCCAGATGCTGAGCTTTTTCTTTGTTTATTTAAAGATGCTGGAAGCCCAAGAGGGTATTTCTGAGTGTGTGTGTGCCGGGTGGGGGCTGTGTCTCTGACCCAGAGTGGGAATGCTTCTGAAGGGAGCCGGTGGCCACTAGGACCAGCCTGTGTCACTGCTTAGGGAGGGACATGTGTGGATCCTGTGGCAGAGATACAGGAAGTCAGTGATCCAGGAACCTTGTGGGGGTGGTCTCCATGCCCCCTTCCTGAAACTGGCTTTGCAAGTCAATGCTTCTGTCTGGCCCCCACTTGAGGCTTCCAGTGTGCCGTCTCCACTCCTGTGGGCCACTCCAGTAAAATGGAATGAAAATTTTCACTCTATTTTGTTGAGATAACTGGGGATGAGCTAGCCGAGGAGGTGGGCCTTTGCCCGCTGGGACAAGTCTGCCTGAGTTCAGTGTTCCCCCAGAAGTGAAGCGCAGTTTAACTGAAGCCTGCTCAACTCCTGGCTGGCTCACAGGCCTGTCTTTCTGCTTCCTGGCCCTACTTTCTCTCTTAGGAAGGGGGCTCTGATGGTAGGGTGCTACCCCCTGAGCTCATGTCCCCAGCAGACACCCTTGGTCCATGCCCCTGAGGATAGAGGCACCAGATATGCACTGAGGCCACCTCCTTTGAGATCACTGTGCACCGAGGTCAGAGCTGATGAGGCTAGCCCCTCTCTGGAAGTAGGACAGGACACAGCACAGAGGGGGTAGGAAAATCACAGACTTGCTGGCTGGGGGGAGGGGACTTGAGAGCAGCTGAAGCCCAGTGCCTGAGAAGCTACAGGTCTGGCAAGGGCATCCCTAGGTCAGGACAGGAGAAGAGGTATCTGCTCTGTACTGAGTGTTTGGGGCCCCTCATCCATGGATGTGGTGGATAAGAGGTAGATTGGACCTTGGGGCCGTAAATTGAGACTGCTTCCAGTGTCAATAGGGGTTGAAAGAGGTATCTTCCCCAAGACTCAGTGAATACAAACATTCACCCCGTTCCAAGGCCACCTGTGATTCGGAGCAGCTCTTACCAGACTTCCTTAGCACATTTAGGTATATTGCAGATCACATGCTCAAAGTGGTTGCATCAGCCAGACCTGGGTGGAGCCAGCCTTGTACACCCCTGCTAAGTGGAGGCACTCCAGCTCTCCAGTGGGCACAGTCCGAGTTATCCCCCACACCTGGGCTCTGACCATAGAGTCACGTAGCTGGGGGAGGACATTCTTGCCCTCACCGACGGAAGCTGTGGTTATTTCAAGTTTAACCCCAACTGCCAAGTTAGACCCGCAAACAAAACTTGTCTGAGGGTGAGGGACACCTGGGGCTGAATGTCACCTGGGTGGTTGGCTGGATGGTCAGCCCCAGCACTCTCTTGCCTGCCCTGCCCCAGGACCATGAGGTGGGGTGCGTCCTCTGTAAGGACGAATCAGGCACTATTCTTGAAAAGGCAGACAGACATCAGATCCTTCCTCCCTGTAACCTGCTTGTGGTCACTTGGACCATGAGGGGCCCCAGGCAGCAGCTGCTATCACTTCTCTGAGCAGAGGTAGAAGGAATGGGGAGGCCCTCTGGAGGTCCCAGTTGTCAGGGCTGGCAAAAATGTGCTGAGAGTGTGGTGCCTGACAGGGCTGGGCCTGTTGGAAGGTTCCTTGTAAGGGACTTCAGTTCAGGGACGGACGGTCTGCAGGGGTATCTTGGTCCCCCTCTCTCTCTGCAGCCTCAATTTCCCTATCTGAGAGTGGGCTGCAGCAGATCCCACTCTAAGGCCTCTGTTCTTCCTTCCTCAGCCTCCGAGGTGGCTCCCAGCTGTGTTGGTGACATGGCCGACAGCCCTAGAGATGCCATGCTCAAGCAGGCACCCATGTCTCGGAATGAGAAGGCCTCCGTGGACTTCGGCTATGTGGGGATCGACTCTATCCTGGAGCAGATGCGCAGGAAGGCCATGAAGCAGGGCTTTGAGTTCAACATCATGGTGGTTGGTGAGTCTTGTTGGCCCTCTGCCTCCCATATAACTCACCTTGCCACTTCAGACCCATGCAGGGGACCAGCCTCAGCTGCAGCACCCCAGCGACTCTCAGACTGTCTTCTCTCCTACATAGTGTGTTGCAGGTTGGGGGATAGCCCTCACGAATTTTGAAAAATACTGGATGCATGTGCCTGGGAAGAGGACACCTCTTGCATTAAGAGGCTGCTCTTGCATTAAGAACTGATAGAGCCTCGGTTAAGAACATGGCAACGCAGGTGGACCAGTGATGCTGGCCTCCGACTCTGGGTTTCTACAAAGTGTCTCCTGGCTATTGCCCCAGCTGTGGCCTTCATGCCTGAGTCAGGGGCTCCACCACCCTCACACCCAACAGGCCTGGCTGGAGCCTTCCTGTTTTGGGTGGGGCCACCTGGGGTCTAGAGAGTCTCTTCTCAGAAAAAAGCTCTTGCTGAGTTGAACAGGCCCCAGAGCCTGGCAGTGTGGGTTTATACTCAACCCTTGTCACCCACTGAGGAGGTGAAGCCCCAGATATGGCTGTCTGGCAGAGCTGACGAGGGATGTGAGTCCCAGTGGTCACTGTATGATACAGTCATGAACCGTGCTGCTGGAGAGCCTACAAACCAGCCTCCCCTTCTCTCCCCAGGGCAGAGTGGCCTAGGGAAGTCCACCTTAATCAACACCCTCTTTAAATCCAAAATCAGCCGGAAGTCGGTGCAGCCCACCTCGGAGGAACGCATCCCCAAGACAATCGAGATCAAGTCCATTACTCACGGTCAGCACCATGGCGGCAGGGGACGGGATAGGGCCCTTCTTCCCAGAGTGTGGGATCAAGGAATTCCCATGAAAAAGGGTATCGTGACCCTTCTGGGTACATTAGAATTCTGGGTAGGAATGATCTGGACCCTCACAGGCCCACCAAGCTGAGTCCCACACAGACAGCTGAGCTTTCTACCAAAAATTATGGCTTGGACCACCCAAACTTCTTTGTCAGAGATTTCTCCCTGGCATCCTCTTAGCTGTTCTTGCAGCCCATTTTGGGGTACCTAGGGCTGGCCTGGCAACCTGAGGGCCTGGGTGCCTCCTCTGACTTGGGATGCTGTGGTTTATGCAGATATTGAAGAGAAAGGGGTCCGAATGAAGCTGACGGTGATTGACACTCCAGGCTTCGGGGACCACATCAACAACGAGAACTGGTGAGGCTCTGGGCCACCTGGGAGACCTTCCTTTAGATGGGAAAGCACCTCCCTGGGATTCAGGGGTTCCCTGAACGCCACCTGCAGTCAGACCCCTAGATAGCAGCACCCCTTTGTTGAGTGACCTGTCTCCTTGGTCCCATTGTGCTGTGGCCACACGTTTGGGGTCTGAAATTGCTAGATCAAAATGGAGTCACCCTGGGAAATCATGCCCCCCACCCCAGATCAAAGGTCAGCCTGGGGAGTTTGGGCAGAGATCCCCAAGATAGGACTGTTATCTCTACTTCTCTCCAATCATCCCTGCATGATGTTAGTAGGTTGGCTTGGGGAGCTGGGCAGAGGGGACGTGCCCCCCAGCCTTGGCAGGAGGGTTCCGATGCACTGGCTAACCTGGGTCTCCACACAGCTGGCAGCCCATTATGAAGTTTATCAATGACCAGTACGAGAAGTACCTGCAGGAAGAGGTCAACATCAACCGGAAGAAACGCATCCCAGACACACGTGTCCACTGCTGCCTCTACTTCATCCCAGCCACCGGCCACTCGTATGTCCCAGCGGGGGCCCCTTGTCCTGATGGTGGAGCTCTGGGTTCCATGCAGAGTGGTGTGGTTAGCAGTTGTTTAGTGGATGACGTGCAGTGTCTGTGCCCAGAGTGTCTCTGTGACCTCTGGACTGGGCAGTTCCCTGTCCATTCCCCCTTCTCACCTGTGTCCATAGAGCTGAGGACTGGGAAGACCCTAGATTGCTCCAGAGCCTGGTGGCCAGGTTTGGCATGTGTGTGTGTGTGTGTGTGTGTGTGTGTAGAGGACTGGGAAGACCCTGGATTGCTCCAGAGCCTGGTGGTGTGTGTGTGTGTGTGTGTGTGTGTGTGTGTGTGTGTGTGTATGTATGTGTGTGTGTGTGTGTATGTGTGTATGTGTGTGTGTGTGTGTGTGTATGTATGTGTGTGTGTGTATGTGTGTGTGTATGGTCTGTCTGTCTGTCTAGTCGTCACCTGACTCTCCCGGTAACCAGGGAGATGGTGCCTCCTGGACCACTCGGAGGGTTTGTTGTGTTAGACAGGAAATAGCATCCTGTACTTCTGTGCCTTAGCCATTTCCTAACCTCACTGAAGTCACCCCTGGACCACTGCAAGTTTAGGGGAACACTGAGTGTGCTGTGGGGTCTCCGTTCCCCAGGGCAAAAAGACTCTGAACAGCCTCACCAACCATGGCCCTTGGTTCCCTGTGACCCTTATCTGTCCCCACTATGTAGGTGCCTTACCAATCTCTGTTGGACATTCTGGTGGCTTGTCCTGACTTGATGGGAACAGGCCAGTCCTGGGCTCCAGTGGGCACCAGAGGCAGCAGCTGGAGGTGACTTACGGGACTGAGAAAGTTGGGGCTCAGAACTCCCGGAATGATGGGGCTTCCTGGCTGCTGCCCCCTGGGTCTGTGTACTCTAGGCTGATCTAGATTCATTCCTGGGTGCAAAAGTCCTGGGGTTTGGGGGAACCTTGCACCCCACGCCTTGAAGGAGCCTGGCTACTGGGCATGTGGCTCCCCCTTTCTTCTAAGAAAACCCAAATCTGAGTATCTGAGCTTTCCAGCATGTCTGTCCCCCTGTGGGACCCACAAGAGCTTGTTCATGGCGGGGCATTTCACAGGCCTCGCCTATGACTGGCTTGTTTGGGGTTCTCTAGCAGTTCTTCTAAGCACAGCCTGGGCCGAGGCCAAGGCTGATGGCAGGAGGTAGAGGTTTGACATGGCTCTGTCAGAGCAAACTTAGGGTGCTTCCCCAGTGATGACCCTCTGGGCTAGGACCCCATCTGGCATCTTGCCTAGTTTCCTCCCCCGAGCGTCCAGTTCCAGGGGACAGTGGTGGCTCATGGCCATCTTTGCTCTGACCTCTTGCCTGTGGCTTCACTTCCCAAAGACTGTCTGGGCCTGATATTCCCCCTGTGGAGGAGGTTCTTCTAATGGGAAAATGATGCCCACTCTTCGGGGCTCCTGCCAATCTCTATCCATATCAGACCCCGGCTCTCTGGAGCCAAAACCACCCTGGGGAATAGGCAGCCTGTCCCAGAGAGGCCCAGAGCACAGGCTTCTGCTTCTCCCTACCAGTGCTTTCACCAGGACACTGCTCTCTGGGTAGACAGTATCCAGGGCCAGTTGAGCTCTGGGGATCTTGTGGATAAAGGTGCAGAGAACTGGCTTCACTCTGGCTCCCCAACCTTGGCTCAGTATCAGGATTGTGTTGTCCCCCTCTGCCTTGTCCACTGCCAACATGGAATTCATCCAGAACCCTGAGGTGGTAGATCCCTGAGCCCTGAGGTTGTAGACCCCTGAACCCTGAGGTGGTAGACCCCTGAACCCTGAGGTGGGAGACTCCTGAATCCTGGGGTAGTAGACCCCTGAGTCCTGGGGTGGTAGACCCTGACCCTGAGGTGGTGAGACCCCTGAGCCCTGAGGTGGGAGACTCCTGAATCCTGGGGTAGTAGACCCCTGAGCCCTGGGGTGGTAGACCCTGACCCTGAGGTGGTGAGACCCCTGAGCCCTGAGGTGGGAGACTCCTGAGCCCTGGGGTGGTGAGACCCCTGAGCTGATTCTCATTTACATTGTTGTCTCAGGCTCAGACCTTTGGACATTGAGTTCATGAAGCGCCTGAGCAAGGTGGTCAACATCGTCCCTGTCATTGCCAAGGCTGACACACTGACTCTGGAGGAGAGAGTGTACTTCAAACAGCGGGTAGGACATTTGGCCTCTAACCAGACCCTGTCCCTCGGACTGCCGGACAAGCTGTGGGCCTGGCAGGGGTCTCTGCAGCCCAGGGGATACATGGCAGGAGAGTCACCGGTCACTGCTCAAACCTTCACAGCAAGTGGCCAGCCTTAGGAGAGGCCCTGGCCTGGGTGACTGCTCTCCAGGTCTCAATAGCAGCTCCATACGAGGGGCCCATTCTCCAGCAGTCTGAGTGGGGTTTGGAGGAAAGTAGACCAGGTGGTCAGTAAATGACCTTTCCAGGTCCATCAGACCCAACTTGCCTAGTTTTTATTAGGTGGGAAAGAAAGCCAGAAATGGATAGTGTGCATTCAGGGGCAAGCAGTGGGCTCTCCTTCTCTGTCATGGAGTGAAACAGTTGCTGACTGGATGACAGAACCTTCCCTGTGGGCAGCTATAGTAGGACGAGTCAGTGGCCTCTTCTGAACAGGGCCACGATTCAGAACCACCTGGAAACTTTGATAAACGGGGATTCTTGGGCTCCAGTATGGTGGGTATGAGTGAAACCCTGAACCCAATTCCTGAGGCTCCCAGGCCATGTGTCAGGGACGTCCCAGCATGCTTAGGGAAGGACAATCAGGAGTATGTCTGCAGGAGGAAGAGACCATGAGGCCACCTCATGTGTGTTGGCCTGAGTTCCCTGGGATGGCCTTTATTGACTTTCACCCACCTGGGCTTTCACCAGAGTAGGGACAGTTTGAGTAGGTACACACCCTGGGGAGACTCTCCAGACAATGACCACAGAGCCCCTTGGGCCAGGCAGGTCCCATCTTAATGTGGAAGCACCAGAATTGGAGATTCTGGGCTGGGATGTAGCTCAGCTAATAGAGTGCTTGCCGAGCATGCAAAAGGCTCTGAGTTCTAGTCCCAGTGCTGCTTAAACTGGGTGTGGTGGTGCACACTATAATCTCAGCACTTGAGAGGTGGAGGCAGGTCGATCAGGAGTTCAAGGTCATTCTCAGTTATATACCCAGTTTGAGCCAGCCTGAACTACAAACCTTGTCTCAAAAATAAAAGAACTAGAAATTCTCAGGGTGGGCTGCTCAGACCTTACCTTTGACTATGAGTGTGTGTGGACTCATGGCTGGCAGAGCCCAGTTCAGGGACCACATCCCGTCTCCTCTCTACTCCCCAGATCACTGCAGACCTGCTGTCCAACGGCATTGATGTGTATCCCCAGAAAGAGTTTGATGAGGACTCAGAGGACCGGCTGGTGAATGAGAAGTTCCGGGTGAGTGGGTCAGCCAGATGCTGGGGGCAGTGGTGGGATGACCTTGAAACATAGTGTTCTCTGGGCTGGGACGGGTGAAGCCCATGTGTCCACAGTGGGTCCTCTCAGGCCAAGCACTCCATCCTGCCTACTGGGTAGTGGTGGACACAAAGAGGGAAGACAAGGTATCTAATAATAAAACACTACCCACAAACAGTTTACTGTTTAAGAAAGCTGGGGACCAAAGAGTTTTATTTCCAGGGATGCAGTGGTCTAAGCAGGTATTCAGGAACAAAGGGAAGGCAGATCAAAGGACATTTCTCTGTAGGAGCTCAGGAAACAATTAGCAAGAAAACGTGGCCTGTTTGTAAGGTTGAGAGCAGATGTTCACACAATAGTGTAAACAAGGCATGGCTTTTTAATGTAATCTAAACATAAACATAAGGGACACTGCTCTTCAGAACCCTGCATTGCATACATGCCTATCTGGCTCTTCCATCACAAACAATCTTGGCCAGTGGCGACTGTACATGTAATCAAACATGCTTTCTTCAGAGCCCAAACAGGGTAGTGGTCTCCAACAGCCGAGGCCTGCAGTCCTGGGTCTAAATCCCAGGATGCAAAGGGGTAAGGCTGGCCTTGCTGAGCACTGTGACTAACACCCCCTTGCCCCTTCCCTAGGAGATGATCCCATTTGCTGTGGTGGGCAGTGACCACGAGTATCAAGTCAACGGCAAGAGGATCCTCGGGAGGAAGACCAAATGGGGCACCATTGAAGGTACTGGGTGCTCTGCTGGTCCTTCTCTCTTCCTTTCTAAATTTTATTTTATTTTTAAATATTTTATTATTTTATTTACTTTTTATGTGTATGGAGTGTTTTGCCTGCATGTATGTAAGTGTACCTACGTCATACCATGCCCACGGAAGTCAGAAGAGGGCATTGGATCCCCCCGGAACTGGAATTAGGGTGGTTGTTAGCTGCCATGTGGGTGCTGGGAACCGAACCTGGGTCCTCTGTAAGTTCAGTCAGTGCTCTTAACCGCTGGGCCATCTCTCCAGTCCCCAGTCTCTTCCCTTTTTATAAGGACATTGGATGTAGGGTACACTCCCAGCACATCAGGTTCTGTTTTGAAACTTTTAACTTAATTACTTTGTCAAAGACTGGTCCCAGGTACTGAGGACTGAGACCTGGACGGGTCTTTTGTGGAGGTGCAGTTCAGCACCCCAGGTGGGATGGTCCTGGAGCCTTTCTTTGCTTTTCTTTCTACTTTCCCACCTTCTTTAGAATGGAGAAGGGGAACAACAGAGCTGACTGGAAGATGGGGGTGCCACGTGGGTCCTGCGCTCAAAAGGCCCCACAGAGAGGAGAGAGCTGGGCTCTGTACGTTTGGGCAAGTCCCTTATTCTCCAGGGCCTCTGTCTACATCCTCCGTAAACAGAGACTGTGTACCATGGTCTCAGCAACGTGATCATGTCTCCAAGATGGTTGGAACTGTTTTGTGTTTGGTTTGGTTTTTTTGAGACAAGCTCTCACTCTGTAGCCCAGGCTGGCCTCACCCTCAGGATGTTCCTGCTGCAGCCTTCCGAGTGCTGGATTATAAGCGTGCACCATCAGGCCTGACCTGTGGGAGCTCTTTGAGGAGCTTACTGAAGTTGCTGTAACAAGCTGGTCACTGGCCTCTGAGCACAAAGGCTCAGGACGGCTCCCGATGTGGATTAGCATTTAGTGCGTACAGCCCTCCAAGGTCTCTGCACTCACGCCCGTACAGAAAGGAGTTACAAAGAGTAGTTCAGTTGGTTGAGTGCTTGTCTAGCATGAACTGGGTTCCACCCTGGGCGTCCCATTAACCCAGTGTGGTGGTGCATGTCTGTGAGCCTGGCATTTGAGACATGGTAGTGAGAGGATCAGGAGTTCAAAGTCACCCTACATTGAGTTCTAGGCCAGCTTGAGCTACATGAGCTTCTGTCTCAGAAAGAGAGAAGGAGGTGGGGGGGGAGAGAGAGAGAGAGAGAGAGAGAGAGAGAGTGTTAGTTAGTTCAAGAGTTCTCCAGATTGGGAATCCATAGACTTGTGCTGGACCTGTGAAGTTAAGAGTTTATATCAGGTCTTTCTTGGGGTCAGCACGAAGAGGGGTTACTGAACCCACCTTAGCTGTAGATCCCAGAGGGGTCTCCAGGGTGGCCGCTCTGAATTGTGCTTTCCTAGGCTTTTCCTCCGTTTCTTTCCCTCAGTCCTTTTCCCTTCCTCTCTGTACAACCTCCCCAGACTTGCTCTTAGGGATTCTGGATAGGGAGGGCAGAGAAGTTAGGGAGAAGAAAGCCCCTGGGACCTGGGGGGTGGGGTGGTGCCCAACACATATAAGCATGTCTCTTCTGCCCCCTGGTGACCAGCTTGGACACTGCTGAAACCCAATGACAAACTGACAGGAAATCACACCATACCTCACAGCTGAGGGTCTAATTTATAGAAGCTCCTGGAAACCTATGGAGATCAAAGATGCTCTCCAAGGGGCAAGTCCCACATCCAGCAGCCTGTTCTGTTGTGGTGGTGGTGGTGGTCTTTTTGAGGCAGGGTCTCCCTGTAGCCCCGGCTGTCCTGGAACTTGCTATGTAGCCCAGGCTGGCTTCGATCTCACAAAGATCTGCCTGTCTTTGCCTCCTGAGTGCTAGAATTTAAAGGTGGGAGCCACCGTGTCCAGCCCAGCAGTCTTTTATGAGGCCCTTGGGAACATCCCAGAACATAATGGGCATTCGTATCAGGGACCCCATGAATTCATAGCTGACCAAGTCCTGGCCAGCTGTACCGACCCCTGGCAGGTATGGACATTAGGCAACTCTACCTTTTTCTTACTTCTTCTTGGGGTTCACCATCCCAGGGTGTCCTAGTTTGTCTCTCCATTGCTGTGACAAAACACTCTGACTACTACCAACTTGGGGAGGAAAGGGTTTATTCAGCTTACATCTTCTGGGTCACAGCTTATCAGGGAGCCCAAGGTAGGAACTCAGGGCAGGAACCTGGAGGCAGGAGCTGGAGCACAGGCCATGGAGGATCGCTGCTTACTGGCTTGCTCCCCTGGCCCCCTGCTCAGCCTGCTTTCTTATGCAACACAGGCCCACCTGCCCAGGGGTGGCACCACCCACAGTGGGCTGGGCCTTCCCACATCATTCAGTAATCAAGAGGGTGCCCCATGGACATGACCACAGTCCAGTTCAATGGAGGCAATTCCTCAGTTGAGGCTCCCTCAACCCAGGTGTGACAAGTTGACACTAAAACTATCTAGCACACAGGGTGTCTGTTCTGTCCCTGGAAGCCAGCTGGGGTACCGTGAGGAGGATGGGAAGCCACTTTATTCCTTGAGGGTAATGTGGCCAAAAGGCCCCATAGAGTTGGAGTACGCCATTAGGTCATTGGTTCTTTCCTGCTCCTGAAGTGGAGCAGGATTATCCCGTTAATCTCTTTTTTACATTTCTTTATTTCTTAATTTATTTAGCTGTGTGTGCATGCCTGCACATGCCATAGCACACATGTGGAGGTCAGAGGACAGTTTACAGGAATCAGTTCTCTCCTTCCACCCCATGTGGGTTCTGGGGATTGAACTCAGGTCCCCAATCTTGGTGGCAAGCTCCCTTATCTGATGAGCCATCTTGCTGGTTCCATTATCCCATTTATAAGGAAATTGAGGGTCAGAGGTACCAACAGAAGTTGCCCAAGCTAGGAGGCAGTGGCCCCAGACACACATCTTGCCTTCCCCTCAGCCTTGTTTTCATGAGATAAAAGAACAAGCCTAACAGATACCAACCAGGTATGTGGCAAATAGCAGAATACCTCTATGTACAGAGAAACATGCTCCCCTCCCCACCCTGTGGAAAGGTCCCCGACTGTGACATGGCTGTACTCAGCTGGCAATGTGCTTGTCGAAGTTACCCAGGAGTGACCACTGTTCCAATCTGTGCTCCCATCTCCTGGGCTGTGTGTGTGTGTGTGTGTGTGTGTGTGTGTGTGTGTGTGTGTGTGTGTGTGTGTGTGTGTGTGTACACATGTGTACTAAACAGAGGTGCATTGAATTTTGCTGGTCCTTTAGCTACATATCAAGGCTAACCCACTGTACATGGACTTAGTCTGTACATGCATGTCCTGTGTGATAGGTGGGGTCACATGGGCCGGCTCCCCCAACCCCCAGCTGTCTTCAGATCTCTGTTGGGACATCATTGGAGGCCTGCTGGTTGCCTCCGAGGAGCAGGGCTCCCTTATTGTGGGGCTCCTCCCTGCCGCCGTGGCCTGGTTGCTGAGCTGTCTCTGCTAGACTCGAACCTTCTAGAAAGCAGGAGCTGAGTTTGTCCTGCCACCATAGTACCCCAGGACTAAGAGTGGTTCCAGGAGCCAGCCAGGAGCCCAGAACTCACCTGTATTAAGTGACTTGCTTTGTTGCTGTGACCAAAGCAACTTAAGGGGGAAGGGTTTCTTTTGACTCACAGTTTGAGGGCACAGTCCTTCATGATGGGGTAAGCATGGCAACAGGAGTGTGAGGTGGCTGGTCCAACACTGCATCCCCAGTCAGGAAGTGGAGAGAGATGAATGCTGGTGTTCAGCTCACTTTCTCCGGGGTCTGAGTTCACAGTGGGTTTTCTTTAGTTGAATCTTTCTGGAAACGCCCTCATAGACATACTTAAAGGTGTATCTCCTGGGTGACTCCAAATCCAGTCAGGTTGACAGTGAGAATAGACCATCACATGCCCTTTGTCTCCCCTGCCCACCTGCCAGTGAGGCTGTCCCTGGAAGCTGCTCTTGGCATGGGTATTATTAGGACGGAGGGGAGGGGCCTGGTGAGGCGGCGCCTCCTTCCCACAGGACATTAAAAACCCTGTCTCTTCTCCTTAGTTGAGAATACCACTCACTGTGAGTTTGCCTACCTGCGGGATCTTCTTATCAGGTGAGTCGGCTGTCATTTCTGAAGGTCCCTTAGACAGGATCTGGAGTTTGGCAGTCGGTGAGTGGTCAGAGGCCCCGCTGTGGGTTGGCAGTCTTCCCCACTGGCAGCCCCGCCCTCAGGAAGACCTCTGAAGCCTGGTTTTTAAAACTCTCTTGTGAATGAACCAAGAAGAAGGTGGAAATCTTCTTTAACCTATATGAGGTCGTCAGTGGGAGGGGCAGGGTCCCAGTCCTCTGTGGCCCCAGTCTGCCAGACCGAGCTGTACTACTGAATTCAAACCAAAACAACATAACAAAATCCATTGTTTTGTGCAATTAATATATGCTAATAGAAAAATAGGTGCAGGGCAGGGCCATCCAAGGGGTCTGGGGTAGGGCTCCCGGGAACAACCTCACCATCTTGGGGGTCCTCAAAGGTCTGGCTTCTTTGGCTAAAAGGGAAGAGGAGGAGAAGTTGGGGGCTGGGGATTATCTCAGTGGGAGATCTTGCTTCTTAGCAGGTTCAAGGCCCTGGCCTCCGACCCCAGCACTGCAAAGAGAAAATAGCCAGCCTACACTTGGCAGGGTGGACTCTGTCCTCTCTCCAGGCAGCTGTGGAGGGCAGCAGTCACCCGCTGCCTCCTGCTGGCCGATGGCCTGCACATCTTGTCTTGAAGCAGGAACTCTCCAGCCCTGTTCACTGGTGGGGGCCTCTGGCACTTTGCCAAATCTATGTTCCTCCATCCCTGGACAGGCTCCTGACTAGTCACAGTGTAGATACAGAGAAAGGAAAGCACAGGGAGACTCTGAGGCTGGAGAGGGTCTGGAGTTAGCAGAGAGGCAGACCCTGCCCTCCGCCTTGTGCCAGGCTTGGTCCTGCTGGTTGTGTATCAAGAGCCTATGGGTCAGGACTCGGGGCTAGGAGGGGCAGGTGGTATGATCTCAGGCAGGCTGAGGGGTTGCCCCCTGCTGACACATGCCTTTCACAGGACGCACATGCAGAATATCAAGGACATCACCAGCAGCATCCACTTCGAAGCCTACCGTGTGAGACGGCTCAACGAGGGCAACAGCGTCCTGGCCAATGGGGTCCAGGAGAAGGACCCAGAAGCCCAGGAGATGTAGACACCACCCGCCCCCTGGACCCTGCCCCCAAATCTTTCCATCTTCCCTGGCCCGCCCACCTGCCTGTCTTATTTTATATAATTATCTCCATTTGTCACCGTTTCCCATCTCTTTTCACGCTGCAGGTTAACAAGGGAAGGCGCACCTGCCAGGTGTGTCCATATTGGCTGCAGCAGGAGGGTGGGGGGAAAATGCTGCCTGGGCCTGACTCTGGGTCACCCCCCGACCCAACCCCAGTGCTAGGAGGGCTAGACTGGACCCTGCTCCTGAGGGGCTAGAAGAACTTGTGTCTCTGCCCACTCTCTCGAGTTCTGAGCCGGAGCCTGTGGGGACCAGGTCCAGGGGCACAGAGGAGCCCACTGGACCATAACTCCCCATGGCCACAGCCTCAGGTTGGTCCAAGGCTATGTCCAGGGGAGGAGAGAGCTGGCCCTGGAGCCCTTCTGTCCCTCCATGAGGCATGGGTCATCATTCATAGAACCCTTGCCCGCCTGCTTCCAGCGGAAACTAGAGGATTCCACAGCCAAAGTTGCCAGTCGCTCAGACACAGTGACATGCCACTATGCCCACTGCGAGCACCCCAGAGCAGAAAGTGCCTTGACCCCCAGCCCTCCACACAAGCCAGCCTTCCTCTCTCTAGCGGTCCCTCAGGCAGGAAGCAGGGGACGTATTAGAGAGGGGGAGATGTGCCCTTCTGCTGCTCGCTCATGCGACCCTCACCCTTTTACCTCCCCTGGGCTATAGGTGCTGCACTGGGCTCTAATAAGGTTAAAAAGGAAGCACAAACGTTGTATCGTCCCACCCCCCCATCTTAGGAAGGTCAAAGCATATGGATGTGGTCGAGCCCAGGAACAAGCCATAGAAGATGCTGGAAGGAAGGTGTCGGGGTGTCCTGCCCCAGGTGCCAGGGGAGGCGTGTCTGTCTGTCTGATCCTCATTTTGGCCCAAGATGCTCTGGTTACATTGGCATCCAGTTGCCCCACCCCAACACTCATCTACTCACCACCCAGGCTCAGGCTTGCTGATTTGGTGATCTGGCCTGGTGGGAGCCAGGACAGATTTTTTTTTTTTTTTTTTTTTTTTTTTTTTTTTTTTTAAAAAAAAAAAAAAAAAAAAAGAGGACGATAAATCTTTCACTGTGATAGGCCGGGGGGGCCAGGGCAGTTTTTTTTTTTTTTTTTTTTTTTTTGTCTTACATGTGCCTAGATCCCTGTGCCCCAGAACCCATCATAAAAACCCCCAAAGAGAGAGATGGAAGGGTCAGAGATGGGTGAAACATAGGCTATAGGGCAAGATTTCATAGCAGCAGAGCCTGGCTCCCTCATCTTCTGTCCTGTGAGGGGAGCAGCGGGAATCACACATGCACAGCTGACCAAAGCCACATCCTTCTGCCTGCTGTTCCAGTACAGCGGGGGAGAGGGAGGAGCCTGGTGGGGCTGGACACAAGTGTGCGTTGGGGAAGGTGCCTCCGAGACCCCAGACGTGCTGCTTGCCGCATAGAAGTGTGGCAGAGGCGGGGTACAGACAGAGGTCACTGCATCAAGTTTTTACCTCTGTATCCAAGCGTGGAAGGTCCCTTACCAAAACCCTCAGCCGAACAGTTCACTTGCCAACTGCCAACTTGCCAAGTTTTTTGCCAAAATCAAGACTTTGAAGGAAACTCGGATGGCTTTGCGCGCCTTCTCCGTAACCAGATACTGAAAACTGTTCCTTGCTTCACCGGGCTGTTCCACATGGCCTTTTGCTGGGCACCTCCCGAAAAAAAAAAAAAAGAAGAAAAAAACAAAATTTGTCTTTTTGTATAAATAACAAAGTGTTGAAATGTATTTCCTGAAATAAATCTTTCAAATGCAAAGTGCCAGGTTCTGGAACGGTGCTGGACTTCCTGGCCGCAGGACTGGCCTGGTATGCCACGTGGACAAGGGCTACCTTGTGGAGGGGAGAGATCAGGCTGCAAACTTCTGCAGTCAAGACCAAAAGGAGAGGCCCCTGGGGAAAGTGGGGCTTTGGAGTATTTCCAGCAAAAGATTTGCTGAAAGTGAGGGTTGCTGGGGTGTTTGCTGAAAAGGGCTTGAAGAACTTGAAGCAGCCGTTTTGCACACTGCCTTAACAGTGTCTCCACAGGAGTCTCCACAGGGACGTGAGCACCTGGGAGCTACTTCCCATTAGTGGATCCTTGAAAATACATTCTGTTTTTTATTTTGTGTGTAGAAGTGTTTTGCCTGCATGTTTGTATGTGTAACACATGCATGCAATGCCCACAGAAGCCAGAAGAGGGCATCAGATCCCCTGATACTGGAGTTAGGGATGATTGTTAGCAGATCCATGGGTGCTGGGAACTGAACTTGGGTCCTCTGAACATTAACAAGTGCTCTCTCCAGCCCCAGAGGAGAATTTGGGGCGGGGGAGTTGAGATGGGAGTCTGTAGTTCAGGCTCCTGGCACACACTGTAGCCCAGGCTGGCCTCAAATTCACAGTCAAACTCCTGCCTCAGCCTCTCAAGTGCTGGAATTCCAGGTGTAGGTGCCATACCCAGTTAAATTTTTCTTTTTAAAATTTAAATTGAGCTGGAGAGATGGGTCAGCAGTTAAATGCACTTGGTGCTCTTGCAGAGGACCTGAGTTAGTTCCCAGCACCCACATCAGGCTCTCACAACCACCTGGAACTCCAGCTCCAAGGGGATCTAACACTCTCCTGGCTTCCATGCTCACTCAGACACAAGTGTCAGGCACGCATTTACACACCCACCTAAATACAAATTTAAAATGTGTTAGGTCAAACCCTAAGAACTGGCCGTTTATGATAATTTTATCCCAAGAGAGCTTGATCCTAAACCATGCTGAGTTCCGGGGGCTGGCTGAGCCTGCTGTGCTTTGCACATGGGATGGGAAGGAAGGTAAGGAGGCCCTTCATGTGTGCACAAGGAAGGGGCCTCCTGTCACACGTGGTCACAGACCAGGTGTCCTAGGACAAGAGAAACTTGTTAGCACAGCCCCGTTTGCCCATAGACTCTAAGAGAGGCTCCCCTGCCTGTCCCGCTCTGGGGCATCAATTCAGGCTCACTACCCTTCACACAGTCTTCTCTGTGTCTCCCGTCTCTTGGGGGACATTCTCCTTGCATGGAGGAGCCACCTTAACCCAGGAGAATCTCACCTTGGTCTTTAGTTCCATCTGTAAAGACCCTATTTCCAAATACTTCTGGATGAATATGAATTTTGAAGGTGCACTCTTTACTCAACCACACCCCCTCCCTCCATCTAGGGGAGTGGAAAACTATATAAGTAGAATGTACAAGAACTAAGGTTCACTTGCAAACACCAAACCAGGTGGCCTATGGAGTGCCTGGATCTCTTTGGCTTCCCTGAGGTCTTCTGTAGGCCACCTGACCTCCAACTGTCGAAGACCGATGGGTTTTGTCTCCAAATGAACCATGGGCAGTGGCCACATGGATCCTTTAAACCAAGGATCCTGAGGTCTGGCTGGGTTCATCTGCTAATGTCTGCTGTGGGCACAGGCGGGAGGGGAGGGTCGGTCCCATGGACTGGCAGTTGCTGGAGCCTGTGGTTTTAAGGCCCTTCTTGACAGGTGCTCCACCTTGAATTAATCCTTCCTCCAGGCTGAACTTTTACCTTGTTCATCTCCCCTGTCATCCATCCCCCAGGCACAACCAGCGTCTGACCCTTATAAACATTCTGTCCTCTCATTGACTTGACTACCAGCCCAACTCATCAGTGTTCCCCAGTCAGCGATGGGGAGCCCTCACCGCCCACCCAGCCAAGCAAATACCCTCTATAGGTCTGGAGTAACCAGCCATCCCCATCTACCCAAGAACATTAACCCTCCTCTTCCTCCCCCTCCTCTTCCCCCCTCCTCTTTTCGTGTGTGTGTGTATGTTTGCACACCTGTGTGCACATGTAAAGAGGCCAGAGGAAATCATTGTGTCTTACTCTCACTCTGCCTTACTCTCTTGAGATAGTCTCTCCCTGAAGCCAGAGCTAGGCTGGCAGCCAGCACACCCCTCTTGTCTCTGCTCCCCACGGTGCTGGGGTTTCAGGTGCCATGGCCATTACTGGCTTTTTTTTTTTTTTTCAAGTGGGTGCTGGGGATCCAAACTCAGGTCCTCATGCTTGTGCACTGAGCACTCTTACCCACTGAGATACCCATCCTTGAATGTGGGCGTCCCATGGACATAGCCCTAGAACCTGAGGGTAGCTGAACAAAAGGACAAGGTGGCCTCTTGGTGTAGGACCCCCATTTTCCTGACCTGTCTCCTACCTTTTCAGCCCCAGCTTTGCTTGTAGCCAGCACAAGACAGTCCTGAAGCGGGCGTGGTCTGAGGATGGACTGTCAGGGCAGGATCCAGGAGCAGGAAAGCTCGACCAGGCCCTGCTCTCGCTGGCCCAGCCTCTGAGTGAGAAATGGGCTGCCCCAAGGGTCTGTGTGGGCCAGGTGCTCTCTATCTGGATGGGCCTGGGAAGACACCAGAGGGAAGTCAGAGGAGCCCACTCAATTGGATTTTTGTTTATGGATGTCCCACCCATTTGTGTGTGTTTGTGTGTGTGTGTGTGTATGTGTGTGTGCGTTCATGTGGGTGCACATTTTGGGGAGAACTACCTGTACACATGTGTGCAGGTGGAGACCAGAGAACGTTTTTGTTTGAGATAGGGTCCCTCATCTGCCTGTCTCCTTCCCTGGTGCAGAGGTTACACGTGTACACTATCATGCTGGGCTTTTTACCTGAGCTCTGAGGATTTGAACTCAGGTCCTTGTGTTTGTACAGCAAGCACTTTACTGATTGAGCTATCTCCATCACCCCAGCCTCTCCATCCTTTTTATTTTTTAAATAAGTGTATTGCCTGCATTTATGTAAGTGCACCTGTGTCGTGCAGTGCCCACGAAAGTCACAAGGGTGTGAGAGCGTATAATTCCCCTGGAACTGGAGTTGTAGATAGTTGTTAACCACCATAAGGGTGCTAGGAATCGAACCCAGGTCCTCTGCAAAAGCAGCCAGTGCTTTTAACCACTGAGCCATCTCTCCAGCCCCTCTCTGCATCCTTCTAAAACACTACCTCCTGGCTACAAATACCTTTAATCCCACATACCTTTAATCCCACCACTCAGGAGGCAGAAGCAGGCAGATTTCTGTGAGCTCAAGACCAGCCTGGTCTACATAGCAAGTTCCAGGCCAACCAGAGCTACACTGGCGAGATCCTGTGTCAAAAAAAGAAAGGAAAAAGAAAAAGACAGAAAGAAAGAAAAAAAACAACAAATTAAAAAAACGAAACATATGACTGTATTAATTCAACCATGAAACTAAAAATTTACGGCCACCTTTGAAAGAGATGTATCCTTGCTCTGGAATGTGTTACTGAAAATGGTAAAGCTGTAATAAAAAAAAAAAGAACAAAACAAAATATAGAAAGTATCAGAAAACGTAAACCACAAAGAAAATAAAAAGGTCCTCTCCGTACAGATATTGATGCTACTGACCCTGGGGTGTGGCTCAGGGTCTAGGGAGGAAGATGATGCTTGTTGGGGTTGGGGATGAGGTGTGCCGATGAAGACTTCTGGAACAGGCCCAGAGTGTATAGCTAAGGGATTAGAAAGCACCCAGTGCTGGCGTAGTGATCCCAGATTTGGGAGACTGAGGCAGGAGGATCGAGAGTTCAAGGAAAACCCTGCCAAAAGAAAAAAAAACCGCATCTAATACTGGAAAGGACTCCCCACAGCCAGCACAGCCTCGTCCCCTTCCTCACCCT